AACAATGTTAGAAATACATAATAAGATAATGCACTCACCCCAAGTAGCTGAAAAATATAAATAAGAATGATAAAAAGTGTAAGTAAGTAACACTGAATTTATCTTTATGATGTTTATCTTCTATTATATATTGGATAGAAATGAATTGTCAAGTAATCGGTGATAAAAAATATAAAACAATATAAAAACTTAAATGTATTAGTAAGGATATAATCAAACATGACATCAAGTAATAAATCAACATATGCATAACAGTGTAAGACTAGATACATTATTAATACATCGACAGAATTTAAATCAACACTTGACTGATATTTCCATCACTGTATAGGGTATTTATCGTTAAATATCTTTAAGTAGAAAATTTCATTTATAGCAGTTAACTGCAACACTTTGGTTATTCATTTTAAAATGCTTATACGTATATTTGAAAAAGAAACTATTTAATTTCATATAGTCAATTAATTAAACACGTCATAAATGGTAAAAAAAAAAAAATAACCACTCGTTTCAAAATGTATACTGTAAGTTTATTAGCCTTCTATAAGATTGGAATATGATGAAATCAGCACATTCACTAATTATCATAATAAATAAGCAATATTATTATAATAAATAATTATCATGATATGCTGTATCGTGATCGTTATAACTAGACGTAATGAGCAACACTGTTTGATTGTCAGTTTGTCTAAACAAAATAGCAGCAGCTTCATATAGTATAATTGTTCGAAATAAAACCGAATGAGAAGCACCCTTTTATACTTCAATTGTGCTAGTGATATAACGACTGCAATATAAATCCCCTATATTTAAATATAAATGATAATGCGCGATTATTTCGTTGTAAGTTTTAAAAGCCCTTCATTACTTACTGTTCGTGATTTAAGAGTAAAATATATAGCTAAAATTAATCGGTCTGTGTCGTAAAATAGTTTCTTGCTTTATCATGTCTCTTCAAGGATCTTCCTTTCTTTTTATTTGGAAACAGATATGTTACATTACATTAGGCACAGCAAATATAATGCATTAAAAGAAATCTACGGTAAAAAAAAACACTAGCTAAACAGATATTTTGAAGTACATATTGAAAGCAGGAAATGGCAGATATACGCTACCGTCCCAAATACTGACAAAGTAAACTATTTTAAAGTTTTATAGCGATTTTTCAATTGCTTACACCAATAACTATCTTAGTTAGTGATTATATGCACGCAAATGTAATGATGAAAGGAGTCAGATGGACAGTAGATGGTAAAAGTACTTTTTAAACATCAGTCACTATGTACGAACATTTTAGCATATCATTACTTCATAGATGAGACATTTATTGTAGCAACAACAAGCGACAAAATAAACAACAAAAAATAATATGAAAAATATGAACATTGGTAACGATACCCTTATTACCATTCTTAAAATATTGAGAACATCACTGTCATTATCATACTAACCTTGGGATGCAGAGGTTAACACATGTAATTTTATTTATTATGTTAATGCAATTAATTTAAAAACCTATTTCTTTTGTGTTGTCTATTACTGTAACAATATAATTCTATATTAGTGTCTGTTGCTTTAGACATAATGAATAACGAAATATCACATGATTTGCACTGTCAACATGTTATTAAAACCATTTTTGATTTGAATGTATTATAATGTGTTATTGGGTGATATATATTAGAGGAATAATGATATATAACTGATAATATTTTGTGATAATTCATAACATATAATGTTCAGTATAAAAATGTTCATACAATCAGTAAAAGTATTAACAGCGTTCAATTTCTATAACTAAGTAAATAATTATATAAAACATGTACAAGCTACCTTTTTGTGTGTATTGAATTGATGTAGCATATCATATCACCTTAAATGAGTTTCATATGCTATGTTGATGTAAAGATATCAACATCAGAAAACTTACTTAAAACAATTATAAAAACGTTGTTGTTTTATTATGTTCTATTATTCCAAATACAAAGTTAACCTTTGTATAGAAGTTGTATTACAACAAAGTATATTGTGTTAGATATATACCAGTGTAACGTTATTACAAATTATATTAATGATACCACTTATTTATGTCTTAAGTTTGTTTCAAAGTACAATAACGCATATTAAATCATTTAAATGTATTGTTCCCGAATAAATTACAAAACAAGTTAAATGATAAAAAAAAAAATTGAAGCAGTTTAACAGATTATTAATGTTCCATCAAAAGAGGAAACAAAAGACAATATGCAAATATGTAGTTAATTAGATGAAAGTCATTAATCACATAACGTTATATTTACATTCATATGAATTAAATGTAAAAAAAGTGTCGAACATGTCAAGAGGATCCAAAATAATTATCAAGCAAAAACAGTGATTATTTTTATTAATAAAAGAATAATGATAACAACAGTATACTTGTATATTGTTATTACAAAAGAAGCACAAATGACAACCTATTAAATCATCGCATTATAGGTCCTTGATAAGTGAACTCATTGTAAAAAAAAACAATATTTGTAAAAGTGAAAGTAAATCATTTTCTCCTGAGTTGATTTCTTTTATTTCCATAGAAATGTACGGGGGATTTGAATTACTTATTCCATAACTCAGACATGTGCATAGGATGGAAAAAGAGAATAACAATGTCCGCTTCTATTAAAGTGTAGAGCAACATTTACTTTACAACTTTTATATTATGTTTGGCTATAAGTCTTTTATCTCGTTTAACTAATTCTTTTTTGAAATGACAACGCCTAAATGAATTTTATTAAAATTTGTTAGTGTTGCAATATTTATTCGTCATTTAATTAAACTACATTCTTCCAACATAAAGTAAAATGTTATATTGTGTGATTTACATTTCCCAGCATATAATTTTAATGTTAAACATAACGTACAATATCGTTTAAGATTGTGACTAAGTTACGATATATACAAAAAACACTCATATCACGATGTATATCTGCTATTGATTGTAAATATTAGCTGTTATATTGAGTGTTAAGAATCGTATCCTTCATCTTCCAATAAAACGACATGAAGACTGATATATATTTTATCTAAATATACCATAAGTTACTGATGCACGTCGGTAATTATAATTGCATTTAAAAGACATCACACTTTGGCATTTTTAAAATATATCAATTATGCTGTATAGTATTACTTTATTTCAAACAAAACACAATACCATTAAATATCAGTTGTCACGTATATTATGTCATTCAAATACGTGATTATAAACAAAGTCATTTAAGGGTCATCATTTTTATGCATGTAGTTTATTTAAGTAAATTATAACATGTACATTATTTAATTTTAATAAATTTTCACATTATACATACTTCAAGTCACTGAAAATAGACAAAATAAAGAAATGTATCAATAGTTATCGAACTCTATTGATGGCTTTACTTGAAACACACCGATCAGGGAAGTATACTCATTTTGTCTAAACAATCATGTATAAATGTTCAATCCGTCACCGTCAATGCGGTAATTTATTTAGCGCATCATAACACAATTATCTTGAGGAAATCTATACGGATAATAAACACCAGGCATGTGGTATAATCCATATACAGTTAATTCTGTTAGACAATATTATAGCGATATGCACCGACATAATTATACCCATGGATATGTTGTGACTGTAACAGATAAACTTTTTTGTGAAACTTGTTAAAACGGAACTGTGAAAAACAAAGCATTTCATACAAATAGTTCTGAATTACTTTAACAGTATTTTATTTGCTTGAAAACGTTCCAGTAGTGTAATATATAATATTATAGTAAAACGTATTAAGGTAATTTATAGCACGTTTCTACTGATATTTTCCCTTAGATTTGATTCCTTGTAAGCATTGTTACCCTGATCATCTTGATATATTATTTTGTTATTAATGTGGCTACACGTTATGAGAGACACTGCTTGTTTAATAATGTTGGGACAACTTAAGTAAGTGCTAGTTAGCGTTAGAGACGTCGTACAGTTAAATAAGGAATAGATAAACGGAGAAAATAAATGCATTACAGCATTAAATTACTAGAATACTCACTGATGTTTTTGTTTTTGTTTATAGGTGCGTCTCGAGGTTTACGTGTTAACATATGTGGCTAAAATAATGATTCATAATCAAATTTAAAGTATCAACAGACATGGTACTCGCACGGGAAAAGTATGTTAGTTTTTGTATACGAAAAAAAAAAAAGAGTAGCTAAATGCGTATTTTCCGAGCCAGAGTTCCATTTTTATGCAATAGTCGCGCATTTATTCGTGACATTACAACTGCAGAAACAATCAGACTTTAAATACCCGCCTAGCAAGCTTGCGCTTTGAAAGCATATAATTATGTGTCCGATATTTACGAAAGAAGATAGGTTAATTATTTTGTACTTATTACTAACTTATGCACGTAATTTTGTTTTCCTTATTTTAACAATGAAAAAAAAAACCACAGATGTTGCAGTGTATCATATGTTTCGTATTTTCACTGATGTCTTGCAGTACTATTTTGTTCTGAATCAAGCCAATACACATACTTCAATGGTAAGTCTTTTGGATCGCAATGTCAAAAAGATATGTGATAAATATAATATAACTGCAAAGCAAGTTTATTTCTTATAAAAAACAACAACAAAGTTCTGCTACTATTGGGACTAGCGTATACGAACGGGATACACACGTAAAATAAAGAACTTATTTCAATTCGTTCGAAATACTTATGCAATTTGAAAACTGGTTTTACAAAGTTTGAAACATTTTGTCGCATGTTTTAAGTCATCGATTTAAGAAACGGTACTTTCAATATAATAAGATTAACATTGAATAATGTTTGATGTCACACTGTTCTGACATATCATACCGTATTGATAATGTCAATTTAAACAGGGGATTGCATTTTTATGCTAAAAAATACAAAATAAACAGTCTGTTTAAATCTTTATAAAGCAAATCATTAGAAACCAACAACGCTAAAATACTAAATACTTACAGAACAATTTTGCACTTGATAATATCGCCGACTTTCCATGCATCTCCAGATTTTATACCGGATTCGCTTTCTGTATACACCCTTTAAAATAAATTATAGATGACATGTTTAAATAAACAAATATGGTATTCATAGTCCTCTTAATCAATTTCCTAGAAATCAGAATACAGCTATATAAGACTCTTAGCTCTAAGCAATGGGAGGAAGGTTTTTGTCCATACTATTTTACATTGTTACTGAACTAAAATGCATTGTTTTTAGTAGTTAATTTACTGTTATATTTTTTGTCAATTAAGCTCATGATTGTGTGTGCAAATAAGAGGATTTTCTTGTTAATAAAACAAATAACGCTTTTCATAGTGAATAAATTGTGACAAACTACAATAAGATTATGTTTATACTTTGATCATGATTGAACATTATTTCAAAGTAAAAGTTGTATGTATGCGAATGGATTCACACTATCTATCAAATCAGTGCTATTTCAAGAATATTTATCAATTAGTATGTATTCTCCTGAGATGGCTCCGGTGTATTTTGCCATATTCATCTATGAAGAAACAGACACACCACAGGAAATGCAGTTTTGGTCCATTCAGGATTTTTGCGGAGCTAATGGTAAGAGTGTTATGTTACCAGCAATGGTTTCCAAACAAAATATTCATTGCAATGAAAATAAGTCAAACATTTATTTGAATGAAATAAATGAATGTTCTGTTCTGTTCTGGCCGGGTAGACCACATTGACAATTTTGTTAAGTATGTAGTTTCTCAATGACTTGTTATTTTGTCTTATACTTGTAAGAATTTGGTACCTTGATAATTTGCTAATTTAATTCATGATGCCATTACTTCATATACGATATGTTGAATTATATATCATTCATAGCAAAAGTCCACATTAGTATTGATCATCTCTCGAATGATATCAAATCGCTGATGTAGTTTGACTTTTTTCAGAATGAACCAGTTAATTACAAGACTTGACAACAGTGTTTATTTTAAGAGTAACTAAGTTCATCTTTTTTAAGATGTACAAGTTCTTCCTAATTTGGAACATATAACTCACCGAAAGGTCTTAAATTACAGAAATTATTTCGTATTTAAATATTTAATGTAGATGGAAAAAATACTGTATGAAAGTATTTTTTTAAAATTTTAATGCAATTGTAGTACACAAATCGAATAAAATAATACAGGGCAGATGCTTATACTACAGATACAATAACCTTATAGTTTTACCTTATTCAAGCATTTATTTAATTATAATAATAAAACAGATTAAGTTCAATATTCACAACATACATTTGAAACAAATGTCGTTGTAAAATTTGTTTTCTAGACGCTTTGCAAACCGTGCATCGTTTTTTAAAGCGGAGGATGACAGAACACGATATTCATGAAACATAATTGTAATTTATTTTCAGCAGTTAGTTTAATTATATATCATACTATTTTTTAAATCTATTATAATAATGAATATTGACTGAATGCACATTTATATTTGAGGAAAATTACCGAATGATGGAGAAGCATAGTTCACATAATATTATTTTTACATCTGGATAAACTATTGTGTAGCAAGGTTACATCTTATGTGACACATGTAACCCTTAGTCTGCAAAAACCTTATGCAAGCAAAATTAAACTTTAGCATCTGGTCATGAGGGAAACAGACAGCAATCTCTCCAGCATGCGTAGGTTTAACTGTAGTTTGCCGAATAATATTAATTATGTCAATGAATTGCATTTTAATACAATATTAATTCCTTTAAGGCTAACGATATGATAAAAAGCAATGAAAGAAAAGCAATATTTTTCACCTTTTTGATTTCAGAATGTGCTGATATAATTCACTCAGTTGTAGGCTAATTATTGTATATATTTACATTCCTTTTTTTCTTTCAATCATACAAATTTACAGTTAGACTGAACAACTCAATTAATAACTAAATAATTAAGCTGTCTATACATACCTGCCGTCTGAATTGTATCCATAGGAATTTTGGCCTAATCCCGGTAGAAGATTATCAGGAAAACCGTCCGGCACTAAACCAATGGCTAGAATAAAATATGCAACACGTTCTATTTTACTTTACTAACAACTTACTGTGACGAAAATCATTTTTCAACATTAATCAAGAAAGTAAAAAAAAAACAAAAAACAACAAAGAAAAAAACGAAACAAAAGAACAACAAACAAACAAAAACAAACTTTCCCAACTTTCATTTATTGTAATACATTTCTATGAATCATGGACCATAATTGAATTAAAAGAAAGCGGTTGGACATGGCAATGCAACACATCTCATTTTGTAAAATTGTAGATAAATGTCGATAATTCATTGAACACCAAAATAGATGTAACAAGAGTTTTAATTTCGTTCTAGCAAAAAGCGTAATGACATTATCGTTGATTTAACGAGCAATATTGAAATTACTTTTCAAATGTCAACAAACTGACTTCACAAGCAAGGTGATTATATATACAATAATGATATTTATATTACCTAATGATCCGCTTTTACCCATGCTTAATATCTCAATTTCAAAGAATGATCTTCTTTGCACGTTCTCCTTGAACACATACAATCCAACGCCAGAAGTTTGATATGCCGTAAAACTGTAAAAAATGTGAAAACACATATATCACTCGCAAACATTTGCAAATCACTGTTTATAATTCTGATTGTTTTTTCTCTTTTTTTTTCATTGTGTCTTAAACCATGCATATTGGCTAGTACATCAAAGATCATTACTTATTTAGACTATGTTTGTATTTAATGTAAACGTTAGTTATTTTAAACGTTTATATAAAGTGCCGATGATTATCTTAATGTTTTAATTCACGTTGATTTTACCTAATTTGCAATGCAAACATAAACATAGTATTTTTAGCAATACCGTGTGTCTATATTATCCATATGCCTGTACAGACTCAATCAAACCGAGTCTGCAATTCTCTTGTAATTTTGTTGTGATTAATGCTTCCGAGGGATCACTTTGTTTCCAGAATTTTATAAGAAAAACATATGGATATATGAAGTTAAACACAGTATCGCTATATTACTTTTTAAGAGTTTATAAAATTAGCGAACGTATATAATATACATTTTTATATCACTGTTTAACATTATTTCACACAATCCTTTATTTCTAAATCAAAACAAATGTGTCAGATTTCAATAATAATTCATGTAAAATAATTCCTTTAAGTGTTATTTGCATCTGTATAAGTTTGTTGTAATATATATTATATATATATAATTGATTTGAAAAAATGTCATCAAATACATTTAAGTTGTATATATACATACCTTAGACATTCGCCATCTATATTAAGATTTTTGCAAACCAGTTGTCTCTCGAGTAATGGCTGCAAATGAAAAACACAATTAATTCGTTAACGAAACTTTAATGAACTACTGCTACATCTATATTTGAACATAGAAAAGTATACATGTGGCATCATTTTATTAATAAACAACTAACCTTTTGCATTATCTAAAATAAGCAACATTTGAACAAAACATACATTGAATTGAAACCTCACGTAACACCCCATTCACTCCTTTGTTGTTGTTTATCAGACACCAGATCCGTGTCAATTTAATGTTGTTGTAATTATGCATAAAGAATATGAACTTTTTGTATGAAAACTTGTTTGAAGGAATATGTTACAATCATAGATTTTTTTACGACGATACATCACTTTTTTCGCCAAAAGTGGCTGGCGTTTACAAGACCCCAGCATTTTCCATGAAGGTTGTTTGTTTATATTTAACATTTTTAGCAGGTCAAGCCATAAAAAGAGATGTGGTTAAAGACTATATGAAAGACTTTTCATAAGCATTATGCATTTAATTTGCAATCAAAAGATTATTTCCTCTAATGATCAAAAAATCACTTTTGTTGTTACCAAATTACTTTTGTGTTCCAGTTAAAACTAAATACAAAGTCTTTCATTACACGTAGGTTCAACACAAAACACGTGATATAAAATATACATGTTTTGTTTAAGATGTAAAGTTGCGTTAGTCATGATAATAAAATCATTTTTTTTTAAATTACTGAATAAGAATGTTTCGTATTTGCTTTTTTAAAATGGTATTGGTAATTATATGTAAAAGTTTTAGTTGACGCATGTGATACGGTATAATATACCTCAACATGATTGTTATTAATTCTACTTTTGGTATTAATTTTAACTGTAATTAAATATCGGATATACATTTTGGATTAGACCTGTCTTTATCTGAACATAAATTATAATTATGTTGCCTAAATGGATATGACACATGCTTTTTACATCGATAAATCAAATTATTAGAAACGGAACATTTGAAATTGAATCAATCGTACCATCTTTTAACGCATATGTATTTGATATACATATTTTGGAAGATTTTTAAAGTGGTAAAGTGGTGAAAAATGATAAAACTTAGTTTAATAAACCAAAACAAACACTAACAAACAACATAAAAACCAACATTTAAGGTATCTCAGGCACACTATATCCATATTGTTTTAATTATTAAGAAATATCAAACGATAGTTATTTTACTTGCAGACAAAATTCTAATTCCCTATAAGTATACTCGTTGCAAACAAAGCAAAGGAAGTAAACGATGGTCCATATATGTGGCAAATGACTATTTTTCTAGTTGAACTGTAAAAAGATACCTAAACCAAAAAAAAATCTGTTTTTGTTCAGCAAAAATGATAGCAATTCAGATAACCTATTGTAATATAACAAGTATATCTTGGCCAAAATAATAGAAATAAATAGAATATCCATCTGACAAGGAAAACCGGGGTCTTATTAGCACCTAGCATATCTATAACAATTATGCCAATTTATAACTAGCATACAATTTTCAAATATGTATCATTAAGTTCTGTAGCATTTATTATAATAAATTTAACAATTTTATGTCTATAATCAAGAAGTAAATAATGTAACATTTCTTTGAGCAAAGTATTCGTAATTGTTTATTTTTTATTTATTACCACGAGGACACGAAAATCATAATCAATCAAACTTCCATATTCAAATGGTAACTTGATTATAAACTATTCTATACACTATTAAAAACATTCTATCCCTTACATCCGTTAAGCTTTAACAGTCCAAAAATATCCGAATTTTCGAAGAGGCTGTTTAAGGTTTTAACTTGTATGTGAGGTGAGGTTAACTTTCATTGTATCTGACAACTGCATATTGCCATATATGAACATTGTTTTAAACATCGTATTTAACGGACATTCATAAATTTTATAATGACTCTTCTTATCGATCACCATATTGTCAATGTTTGCTGGATTTATAAATTGTTCAGTAATTTAAATGTGATAAATAAATACAACATGTCCTTATGATCATAGACTTGTTGGTAGGGGAGCTAACAATACGTTTTATAAATGATGCCAAATCGCCAACAACATGCTTCAAACACAAACGCATAACATGCTAATATTATTGCATTTATTTATCACAAAAATAAAAGGTTTGAATCAGTTTTTGTTTGATTACCGTAAACATGTGTAATTATACTGTAATCACAACGAAATAGTTTTAGATGTCACTTAATTCCATACAGCAGCCTTTCTGCCCAACACATATAAGATATTAAATAACTCACTTGAAGCTTTTGGGGCGCTATGGTCTCCATCGTATGTTCTCTTCTACATGTCTCTGCCACTTCTTTCTCTATTACAATTACAGGTCTCAAGATTAGATAAAAAATACTCATGACATAACAGAACAAAACAGTATTATGATATTAGGGCTATTTTTGTTTATACTTTAAAATACCAATGTAAGTAATGCAAATTCAATATACGTGATGTGAAATCTCGTATATAGTATCACCCGTGCGTGTTGACATGAATATAAAGCAAACTGAATAACTAAGCATGGATATGAACATGTTTATTAAAGATCGTTTATTAAGTATTTTTTAAACATGCCTATCAATCAAATTTATCAAAAATTTTCGCTAAAACAATGTTAAAAAGTATAACTTACCAATCTGTGTGTTTCTGTTTACACTTTGTGCTTGCTACATTATAAATAAAGACGATATTTAAATCGAAAATTGTCCTCTTTCATCATCTTATTAGAATGATTTCTTTGAATGATCTTGATACAAAATAAATGTATGAGACAATTGTATTTAATAAAAGCATTTTTTAAAGCAATTTTTTAATATTTTTCCAAGAACAGCAGAACTAATGTATAATTATTGTAACAAGATCATGAGTTCATCTTAGAAGATATTCTGAGTCTTTAAGAAAAAAAGTAATAATCCAGTTAAATAAAATAAAGCAATTATTCTGCGATTTTCGTATCAATGTGAACATCGCTTACATAGATATCAGATTGCCCTTTGTAGCAAAAAATAGGTCATTGTATCGGCTTATGCATCTTTGAAGTTGGTACATATATACATGTATTCTGTATTCAAAACGTACTACTGTTTACTGTATATCACCTTATTGCAAACTATTTACGTGTATTTTTCTCAGGGGATAATATATAAACATGGAATTAATCAGACTACAACCTTACTATTAAGAACATGATATCCCATTATATGGAAAGACCGGTATTTCAATTTTAAGCTGTAGTGTGACTTATGTGTCCAATGAAGCATATTTAATATTTTGTTTTGTGGGCATTAAATTGCCGCTAAAAAGTCAATGAGTTTTTTTATATATCTCCGCATTAAAGGTCTTGTTGTTATAATAACAGTCTATCATTATATACTTTGCTACTGTATGTTCCCTATTTGTTCTTTGGTTCTGAAAGTAAAAGAGCTACATGTGTCATCACTTGAAATTCTCAAAGGAAGCGTACACCACCTTAAATTAGGTTTTTTTAATAAATCGACTGACCTGAGGTAAAAGATCTTCATCAGCTGAATTAGATTGTTTAAATTCGTGTTGATGATGTTCACCTAAAATGAATAATTAAAACATTAAAATAATCTCGTAAATTAAATATTTTTTCTTAAATGATGATAGCCGAACAACGTGTAGCATTAATCTTAACTACAAAAAACGAGGCAATTGTTCATGTTTAAATAACGAAAATCGTTACAGGTACCAGATCATATTTAAACGATTTTAAAGTATGTTTATGTGATGATCATTTGCAACAGTTACGTGTTTAGTTTTTATTTATCTTTTTCGAATTATTATGATATGCATCATAAAAAGACATTTATGAGTAAACGAAAAACTTACTCCGTTCAAACGGCTGTTCGATGAGCATCCCAATCACCTTGCTTTCTGTTATTGTTTGTGCTAGAATTTTGTCTTCTATGAACTTATACTGAGTCACGTGATTTTTGTTTCTTAAAGTTTCAAAATGTTCCTGGGTCTTTTTCAGTTCTGGCTTTATAAGCATGGCTGCTACAAAGAGGTTATTTGGAGTGTCACTTTTTGACTCCAGTTCAATGTTTTGGCGTGTCAATTCAGCTATTAATTTGTCGATATCCTTCTGTAAATCTTCGGTTTTCCTCTTGTCATTCAACATAATGTCCTTCGCCTGATTAAGAACCTTCTTTTTCATTTTATGTATACGTTCAATTACATGATCTGTGAATGCCTCTACGTCGCTAACAAATTGCTCATAGAACTCGTTAAGCTGTTTTCGGTTGCTCTTTATCAATGATAGACTGTCTTCAGCCTCTTTCATGCATTTCTTCATCTCCTTTCTAAGATGTCTAAATTCTTGACTGTTATCATATGCAGCAGCCTTGTCACGGATATGTTCCAACTTGCATCCATTATGATATACAAGAATGCATTCTGCACAGCCAACTTTGTCGTGCTTTGGACAATAGAATTTCACAAATTCTCCAATGTGCTCTTGGCATGTTTCATATGTATCACCAACCGTTACCGTCACTGTATTCGAATCATCGACTCTTACTAAGGAATGATTTCTACTAATTTTACGTCCTTTGTGTTTCACGAAACATGAATTACAAAAGTAAACTTCACATTCTACGCAAAAACCATCTGCATATGTTGTTATGTCAAAATCTTCACATAAACAACACAGTTTTGCATCTTCGTCCTTCGACAACTTTTGACCAGGAACTTCCATAATGTATTAACAACACCGTACCTATAAGTCATATAAGTCATAAAATATATAAAGTAGCATTCACAAATAGTTCATCTTAATTCAACATGACATATAGTGTATCCTTTGTATATCATTTGTTATCTGTATATACAAACAAACCTTTATGATAACATATCACTAGTTGTGTATGTTCACTATTAAAAATCTTTGATACTGTCATAAAATGAGTGCTAAATTGATCTTAAACCATGCTGTAACTGAATACTCCAATAATTTCCTGGAAGTAAGTTGAGGAATATCTGTATGTAAGTTAATGATTATTTGCTCAAAGGCAGAATTCTCAAATAACTAATGAAATAAAGAGGACATTACTCATCATAATTCATTTGTCTTTTCCTTATATACATATGGTATCAAGCTATTGTTTTGAATTGATATTTAGTAAAATGGAATAGATTTGTGGAAAAAGATTACTGATATACAGAGTGTAACATTCCCGTTGATATTTGTTAGTCATGGTTAAATTATTTGTTAAATGCAAAATATGAATATAACAAGTCAGTAGATTTTAATTTCAAGCTTGATTGCCTACTTACAAAGGATTACATACGACCTTCGGTGTATTAGTTCAGGTACAAATGAGCACCAGCATAAATCAAACAACGTTCTGCATAAACATTTTGACACAATTATGTAATGGAGAGCTTACGAAACAGCTGTTCATGTGTGAAATTACGGGACTATTTGCTATTCTGTAATTGACTCCATGAATAGAAATTTCTTTTGTAAAACAGTCATACATGTATATGAACGATATTGAATTGTATATGACTCATGCTTATTTAAGAAGCATATTTTCTGATTTATGTGCTAAACAAATTTTTATTTGACTTAATCGTTTAGTAGACATATTATTTTTTGAAGGAATTACTTCGGAAGATCATCCCAATAATTAAAATAAAAGGAATAATTTTTACATATTAAAGAACATTTATCCGATTTATTTAGCAAAAACTTAAAAGCTGGTTCTCTATTTAAAGAACATTTTGTATATTTATATTTGATATAAATGTTGTATTGATACACATTTGAAAACATGTGCCAAACTGTATAATTAGCCATTATTCGTACCGCAGTTTGCGTTGAATTACAAACGTATATTCATTCATTGGAACAAATAGTATTGTTTAATGCGCCATTGAATTTATATGAAGCGACATTCACCGGGAATACAATCCACAACGGTATCCTGTTTTCATTGTAGCTCGGGAAAAGACGCACGTAAACAATATGATGTCTGACGTACAACAACTTCTCGTAAGCTGTGAAAACCAAGGCAGTTTATGTTATACCTTTCAATGCAGTGTTACTTTATCTATGATATTTTATTCGAGATAATTGTCATAAAAACAAAACATACACATTTTTATGTGCAAGTTTAAAAAACCCGTCTACAGTATATGACCAATGGACATGATTCTCCTTATTTTAGAGTAATTTTGGAAAAATTCAATCCAGCTTGTGAATATGATATAACACCCGTGAATATTGTCATAATAAAATGTTCTGTTCACTACTATTTGGACCAATGAGATTGCAGATATGTTAGATCATCTAATAATAACATTTTATTATAAGATCTATAAAAGCTTTAAAATGTCTTTCTCCGTTTGGTTAAGGTATTAAACTTTCGTTTAAAAGTAAATATCAGAGTATATTCACTATTTTTCTAGAAATAGATATTCTGAGTATATTCACCGTTTTTCTTTTCTTTTAACTTATTTACGACAGCGTGTTTTATAGACACTACGTATTCTTACTTTACCCACACATTCACACACGATCCTGCTTCTATAGAAATTTGATTTTGACAAGTATTAAGAATACTTTTAAGAAGCAAAACTGGTAAAAACAACGTTAACGATTTCTCGCATTAATGCATGCGCAACTGGTTACTTGTTTTGTTAATTTCGTATGGTCAAACAATGATAACGTGAATACGTACATTGACTTGTGTAGAGAGATTATGATTTTAGTACCTTCAGCATCTTTAGATTTTGATAGCCAGTGCAATGTTTGAATATTGCTTTCTAAAGCGATTTACCCAACAGTGACCTTCTGCCAAGCAATTGGACTCCAAACTTCAAAACAAACATCTGATTAAACGCGTATTGTTAATGCATGCATTCAATACATGTAAATGCATGTATAATCAGATTGATTTTCTAATCTTTAAATATTACGAAAGTCAAACACTCAAATTATATAAATGTAAACGGTGTTTTGAAGTATGAGTATATATCCTATTTCACAATATACACAGCGAACACTATCTTTCTTTATAGTATATATGCTACCTTAAAGGACGTCAGTTTTGATAAATGTAAACAGTTGTGCTCATGTGACGTTAACAAATAAAGTCATTCTGCAAAGCGGTTTGTAAACGATAACAAATGTATCAATTTGTATCTCTATTAAAATTTATTTTATCTCAATCGAATCGTTTAATTATATTTTAATTGTACAGTTAGAAGGATTTTAAATATTACGAAAGTCAAACACTCAAATTATATAAATGTAAACGGTGTTTTGAAGTATGAGTATATATCCTATTTCACAATATACACAGCGAACACTATCTTTCTTTATAGTATATATGCTATCTTAAAGGACGTCAGTTTTGATAAATGTAAACAGTTGTGCTCATGTGACGTTAACTAATACAGTCATTCTGCAAAGCGGTTTGTAAACGATAACAAATGTATCAATTTGTGTCTCTATTAAAATTTGTTTTGTCTCAATCGATTCGTTAAATTATATTTTAATTGTACAGTTAGAAGGACTTTCGTTTACTTAATTTAACTATATTTTTTTAATAATTTCTTTTTTTTATTTGCGTTCTATATGCTAGACAGATTGTTCAGATTTTATAGTATCAAACTAATAGTATACTTCGTTATCTAACTGTCCTCGTTAACTATATCTGAGTTATCAGTTTGAACTATAAATTAACTTCTTAAACCGAAGTAATATATACATGACATGGTATAAATGTTAAATTTAAAACTAATTTGACACATACATAAGACAATTAAGTTCCTACAATTAATCTAGGATACCGAATAGAAATATGAAATATATTTATAAGTAATATAAGCGTGTCTGTAAAACAACTATTCAGATATAAGATTAAAGTGATTCAAAGTTATTTCTTTGTTTACAAAAATCGAAACAATCCAATTGTCTTCAAGAAAAACGGTTATATAATACATGTTATATGTATCCAAGAGACAAAAAAAAAAGAAAAATAATTTGCAATATATTAAACCATACAAATGACAGATACACAACAATCTTACTATTGCAACGATCAATTAAAGTTACGCATAAGTCTATTGCCACAAGCACAAGCAAATATTCTGCAACCTACAGAGTTGTTTTATCTCATTTCTGTTAAACTTAGACTTGTATTTTGAATCGTGTCACAGCAATCTGATTCAATATTCTTATAACAGATAATATTCAAATCCTTAAATTTATTTAGTGAACTAATTACAATTTTGTTGTTTTATAAGGGAAACGTGAAATATTATAACCCTGATTTTTCTAATTATATAGAAAGGGATTCAAATAAACTTACTTTGATACGCTTACCGGTGTATTATCGTAGCTAAGTTAGCACTTAAACCCCTATGACCCGTAATCTATCTGGATTGCTTAAGCACAATGTTGCAGTTACGGATTGACTGCACTTTCCGTTAGTTAGGTGTCTTTTCGCTTCAATGAGATCTCTTCCCGCGCTCTCGAAATTCTCGTGATTTCGGTTGCATGCTGGGTAAGTGAAGTGACAAGACGGGTTTCCAGTGCTCCAGAATAAAACTTTATATTTTACTATCCTAGGATGATAACTTGAGCCTTTGTTTACATAACAAAGACCAATAACAATGCGAAAATTAGGTTAGGCAGATCAATGCCACAACCTATAAAACTGAAAATAAAACTACATATTATCATATGACTTGTTAGCGTAGTAGGTAGAGCAACCGTGACAGTGATGTGTTTTACCCGTACAGGCAGAAGTTCGACTACTGGTAAGACACATTTTTTTTTTACCTGAGAACAGCCAATTGTTCAGAAAACAAGTTTGACCGTTTTTTTCATATACATACATGAATGTGATTTCGAATATTTTATTACACTGCGATAAAAATACAAAAAGAAAATAGAATGGAAATAAAAAAAAAATAAATATGTACTATAAAATATAATTATATTATAAGAAGAAAACAAAAAGGAAAACGAAAATAAATAAAGTATAATGATAAAAAAACGAAGTAAGAAGAAAGAACTGTGGTTATAAAATGACACTAAGTGGGGTTCGAACCTATGAGTACAAAACACTATTAGTTACAACTACTCCGACCTACCGACAGAGCCATAACGGTAATACACAAACGATTCTGTAAGAAAAATGCTATATAGTATCAGTAAGTATTTACTTTTACGATATCGGATAATAAGCTGGATAACCCCGTTTTTCGACTTTCCCATGTACCGTTAAGACCAAATTATCATCTTAGGACAGTACTTAAATATTATTTGAACTACTGCTAAGTAAAGGTTGTAAGATGGTCTAGGTGGTTGAACCAATACTTACTAAAGACCAGAACAAGAACAAATTCAAACACCTCAATGCGTTTAACCCATCGTAATAAGGGACGAGTGGTTTAAATACAAAAATCATAAAAAAATCTGTATTTGACGGTATGTGACGCCCCTTGATAAAAACTATGATACTAATTGTTATTATATGAGGTAGATAAACAAAAGTCGTCAATGTCTACACTCCCGGTTGTGTAGCAAAATGTTGCTATCATTTCAAGATGATATGATGGAGCAAATGATGTTAAAACTTAATTAAAATAACTAAAAGTAATTAACAAAAAAACTTGGTGTAATTTGATTTAAATTATCTTACCTATTTATTCGTATCCTTTAGTTTCTGTTCAGGTAGGTTTTAACAATCGTTAACTTATAAAGTGA